AGCATATTGCAGTCTACTTGGTAACACAAAAAAAAGTAAATCATCACTGCTCACTAGGAAGCAGGGCAATAAAGTTGCAGATATCTTATTATAGCTTGATAGTAAATTTCTATGTTAAAATCTACTCCAGATAGTACTACATTCTTTTGACCACTCTTCATATAGGTTTCTTTCAGTATAAGTAATTGTAAACATAGCTCGGTATCAAGCAGGCGAAGAAATCAATAGTGAATCAGACAGGTGCAAAGAACAAAATACCAACATGGTTTACTACAAACCAGTTACATAAAAATTCCACAATTAATCTCCTCATAAATATGGAATAAGTGTAACCGAACAAGTATGAAATTTAAAATTTTGTTATGAGTGGGTATCTAAAAAAAAAAATAGAATCTTAATATATTCAGCTTTAAATCACTGTATTAATTTTTACATTCTGCCTGGTGCAACACATCAAAGTAATTTAAAAAAAAACAAACTAAAGTTTGTTGAGTACAAATAGGCTTGCAGCATAATTTGAGGCTAAAGCATGGGCCCTGATGAACAGCTGTGGGGGGAAAAAAAGTTCTGAAAGACCCTGACCACTGCAAATAAGTTTTCCACTATTGTAACACACCATAGGAAAAGCAGCAGCCTCTTAAATAATTGGATTGTACATTATACAATAATTAAATACCCTTCACATAGGAAAACCTCCCCTATTTCTAAATCTACCTAATAATCACTTTTCCCTAGTCAACATCTTTCCTATGATTATATGTATAAATGCTAAGAAAAATTCCTTAGCCACAATTCAGTTGGTTATGAGTAGATTTTAATATCTAATTAAGATGGGTCATTATTTCAAAGAGACACCACTGGAGATTAACTGAATCATACAATACATGGCATTGACTCAATTGGCAGCAGTATTTTCTTTGGGTCGAGAACAAGGTAATATCCTATGCAAGAGTTAAAATGCCTTGATCCACTCTGTCATCTCAAAGAATGTCTTTTATTAAGGCAGCAGAGATGCCTGCCAGGCTTTTCTTATCACCAGAATCAATGCTGCTAAAGGTGCTATATTTTAGACGTCACCTAACATTCAGGTTCTATTTTTGTTCACTGTGGAGTCCTTTTTACAAGAAAGAAGGCAACAGATCTGCAGACTTGGCCACCGAACTTTTTATTACTGTTTCTACCAAAGAGTTTCCTTCTTTCTTGTGATGCCATATTGCTGAGCTTTCGGGGGTATTCACATTTCTTTACTCACCCGCCATCAGCAGTGCCCATATAATACCTATAAATAGGACTTGATCCTGAAGGTCCTACTCAGAGATGTAAATGTATGTGAGTGTCTGATGAGACTGGTACTGTCTAATAAGTTTGTAAAACACACAGACATTATGGAACTGTAACATATTATTATAAAAAATTTACATACTCAAAGACTGCAAAACAATAGGATTTCCTTACTATGACATATTTCCCTCCCACACTTACAAGCAAAGCAAATTAACATATTGCTGTACTTCAAACTTTTAATCTAACATCAGCTCTTTAATACAGTTTATAAAACACAACAAAACTAAGTAGTCAATCTTAGCAAAAAATTAGAATATGTGCAAAATCAGTTCCTTACTAAAACCATCTGACACTTGCATTGGCTTTTCAAATAATTAAAGGCCTAATATGTCTGCCATTTACAAATCAAAATCGGGTGACTTGATAGGCTGGATAAACCTGGAACTTGATCTTGCACTCGTGAAATAAAAGGGCAATTCCTTCTACTTTCGAGTTGAGAATGTCAAAACCAAGGCTTTGAATGGGCAAGGCCTTGGACATATTACTGTATTCTGTACGTTACCGTTACTCCCTGTTAACCACAGCTCCAGTTTCTAAAACCTAAGAAATGTGAATGGATGGATCTTCAGTTTGTACATTTTGTTTTGTTATACACTGTAAAGCACTGCTTCGTCAGAAGTGGAGTAACGGCAGTAACCCCTAATTTTCAGTCAGAGTAACAGTGTGCTATATGACAACAAAGCAGACATGAAGCTCCTCCCCTGGACCCAGAAGCTTCCAAATGCTTCTGTTTTCAAAGTTAATGGCTACTGAGATTACTACCTTAAGTATTTTAACATTTTAAAGGTTATAGTAAAACTGTATTTATTTTATTCTTAAAAATCTTCCACACAGCACACCAGTTAAAGCATAAAAGTCATACGTTCTGTAATAAACTCAGAAGAAATGTGCTTACAGCCCCTTTTATGTGTCAATAAATGTACAACCACTATTCAAAAGCAAAGTTTCTGAACTGATAGTACTTATAAATGGTCACATTCATTTGAGATCAAAAACTGCTTTTTAATTAACTTCAAACACTTAATCTAGTACCTCTTCATCACCTTCCTGTTTCACTTTTTAAGTTTAAAGCCTGATTCAGACCCACTGAAACTGAAGGGAGTTTAGCAATTAATGTCCTGAACCTCATCCCCATTTCTCTAACTGTTCTCCTTCTTTTCCTCCTCTTTATGTCCAATCTCTCTGTCCTTATACTTCTGTGTTTTCAAGCAGGTATCACCTACGTTTGCCTCCGTGTGCTATTTCCTCTGTATTGTTATTTTTCTCTTTAAAAAAGCTTAACAGAAGTGAAAGTATACAGGGGTTTGAGTAACCTCATGATGTGAGGATAGGGGAGGAGAGTAGGCCAATGGTTTTCAATCCATTTTTGGACTCTGAGAGCTCTACAAAGTTTTCCTTTAGAGGCAGTATCCAGCAACAAATTTAAATCTACTGACAGTACGGTGGATTGGGGATTTTGTTATTAATCAACTGACATGGGCCTCTCAAAAATAGTCTTTGGAGTCCCAAAGGTTCCTATGTCAAAGGTTAAAGATCTTAAGTTATGGAAGGAACTTCTCTGTAATTCTGTGAGGCATTCATCTTATGTTAAGTAATTTTACACTGTTTACCTGTTCAGTGACATCATAAAGCACTAAATTACAAGGAACTTTGTATTTCTACACTGATGTGTAAATTCAGCATTTTCTATTACAAACAAATTAACCATATATTTGTAACAAACAACAAAAACCTCTCCTAAAAACCTACATGCATGAAATATATATTTCAATGAAATTTCAAGCAATTGCTAACAAAACCTTTTAGAATACCACTTTTAAGTAACTTATTGGTAAAAAAAAAAACACCTTAAAAAATAATTCTCAACTAAACGCAGAATCTTGATTATCTCAACTCCAGCTCCTAATAACCTCAAGCTGTAAAAAAGCCTCAGCTTAAAAATGAGGTTCATTTCTATATTCTAAAACAAGAAAAAAAAAATATTGCTACCACTTGCATATAGCTGAGCTTATGCCTATAAACAAGATATGGGACAAGCTCTGTCAGGTGCTGTACTTGTAGACTCCATGTTCAACACCGTTACCATACAGATAGAATCCCTGGGTTTGGGTGACAGGCACATCTGGGGGCAGGTTTTAGTTTTTTAAAGAATAAACTGTTGGAAAACATTCAGGATTTTTCAAAGTAAATTCAGGATCTTCTCGGTTAGATCACTGGATTAAAATTTTAGGCACTCATTAAAAATACCTCCAAAAAGAGTCAGATAGAAAACACCACTTTATATTATTTTAACCTATTATTTTAAATGCAGGCAGCATAAGCATTCAGTGGGCAAAGAGCAAAACCCTTATTTACCTCCTGACAAGCTGATATCTTCACCACCAGACTACTGATGTGCTGTCTCTACGCTTTTATGTATTCCTTTCACTCATCTTCAATAGGAGAAATGTACGATTGTTCCCACCTCAGCCTTCCTAGAAGGCTAGTTCAAGAAAAAGCAAGGTCTAGCATGAAATGACAGAAGCAGATGCACAACTGCTCAGATTGTCTCATATAATTTGCAAGCCTAAATGCCAAGCCAGACAACACTAATAACAAAGTTCTAGCTTCTTAGACCTCCAAGTAAATCTGTACTCTGTCACAGTATTTTACAAGGAGGGAATGGTTCCTTTCAAACTAACCCTAGAATTCACACTTCCTTTGTGAAAAGGCATTGTAGCCACCAGAAAAGTACCTCTCAAACTTCCCATAAAACCATAATAGTGCAGCCTATAGAAGCACGTTAAAGTATTCAGTAGAACTAAGTTTTAAACACCAGTGATTAGTGGTGGTTCTCAAGACCTCCTGGGTTATGCCATCATTCAAAAAGATACACAAAGCAGTAGTTTGTACAAAAGCGGTGATTTAGACACCTTTAGTTAGAGCAATTTCAAGCTCTGAACTCCTGTATCACATAAATACCTGAATTGGAGATGCTGTTAGATGCCCAATTCTGACATGTCTCTTCTTAAGTATTCTTTTATCAGCCACCCTGGAAGTCTCTCCTCTTTGCACAATGCCTAAAGTAAACTCAACTTTAATCATTTCACTTCCTCCATGTATTATTCACAGAGGTTACATGCCAAAGTCCCTTTGTATTTGGGGATCCCAAACTTTATTTCTATCTGAAAACCATCATGAACACTTCTGGAATTAAAAATAAAAAAAACAGCTTGACCCGTTTCAAACACTTGGCCCTACAGCCACTTGATATACTGCTCTTAAAGGAGGTGAGACAAAGGAAAAGTGATTTTTTTTTTTTTTCTTATTTAGCATATTCACTACTACAGGTAAGGTCACAGAAATTTATCTTCAAGTTTTTAATTTACAGAAAAGATCAAGTAAGCAACAAAAGCAAAAAGTCTAAGCCAAAACCCAGCACTATCAAGTGGCAGCACTGAAAGTATTTTAACAAGACTATTATTGCCAACAATATGACAAATTAAGTCCCCCAAACTACAAAACGGTACTAAGACAAAAAAATAATGTAGCTAGTATGGCAGTTCCACATATATTGGAAATGCTTAAATACACATGAACCTAGTAAAATTCCATCCTGAAAAGACATCTTAACTGTGAGGGGCTGGGTATTCTTTTTGGATGAGGAACTCACTTACCCAGATTTCAAGTCTGTAATCCGTAAACAATTAGTAGCATCCAGTCCTACTTTTCCATTTCTGACCACACTGGAAATGAAGGGTGAGAGTGCTGGAGAAATTCTGTTCAAGGCAACTTCAGGTGACATTTTAGTATGTTCCTCTTAGCTTTTGTCTTGAGCTGCACAGGGATGGTAAGGGGAGAAAATAAAATAAAAAAATTTCCTGCTTATTGGATGTAAATTCACACGCACTCTACAAACATCTAAAGAAAAAAGCTAAGCACGCAAACAATTGGGAATGTAGAGTAACTGAAGTGTGCAGAGGTTTATAAAGAAAAAATAAACACAGGTATTACTTTCCTCGTACCTCTGCAACGTTCTATGAAGCCCATTTATTCAATGTCAACATAAAACCAGACTTATGTTGTAGGCTCTTTTAATTGAGATCCTATCCCTATGAGAAAGAAATAAAATTGATGACCATCCTGACACTTCACAGCCTAGCCCTTCGCGTGAGCATTTCCATTAGCAGTCTGTAATTGACAAGCCACATTTGTTCTGCTTCCACTGAAGCCAATGGGGCTTACATTACTGAATGCAATTGGACCAAAGGTTTGATTATCTCTCTGTATTCTCATTTGTAATTTCTAATACCACTAGTATAACCATAATCAGTGTTACTTTCACACTACTTCATTAGGTAACTATTTACAGCATTTCACCATGCCTTTTAAAGGCTAACATTACTTTTCTTTCAGTGGTATCACCAGGCTCTTTGAAAGACATCTTAATTCACAAAACATATCAGGAAGCTGACATACACACATTTTAAGCATAGCTTTTTCAGAAGTGCTTGCAATTGTGTGACCTCAGGCTACATCAGTTAGGCCACTAAATTAGCACAATCTAAGATCCTGCTGCTTTTTAGCTGAAATGCAGAAACTGAACATGCACACATTTTAACTCATTGTACCACAAAAAGGCTAGAGTATGCGGACAACAGATTGTGGTAGAAGTGCTAGAAAAGAAGGGAGAGTAACCTATTAAAATGCTAACTTAACGTACTCAATCGTATTCTTACACACAGAATTTCATCTGGAAATTAACTGAATTTGACAATTTTAGAAAAAAAGCCATAAATTACTGAGGGTAACATAAATATGCCAATGACAAGTGGGGCAGAAAAGCTCATACTTAAGCTCTGACCATTAGAAGATATTTTTAAAACTATCCATTTAATTGAACACCAATACATATTTACTTCCTTACAAAATGGTACATATGGACTGCTGTATTAATAACCATTCCATGAAGACTGTGAACAACTCATGGCAATAGTTGCAATTTTCTGTTGTTTCTAACACTCAGGTTACAAGCATTAGCTGGTAACCAATGGATATTCTAGAAACAGGTAATTCCCTTTAACTGGTAATAACATTAAAGTTACATTTTGTTCTCATTAAAGTAATTCACACCAAAGTAGTATGAAGCAATGTTCAATAAAGTATTTATCCTAGCTATTTGGGATGTATCTGAATAAAGCAAAGGCCAAGCACTTTAAGGCAAACAGAAAGACTAATAAAGTAAGACTTCCTAAAAACAGTAATTATCTTTAATATACTGGCTCTTACATTTTATGGCAGCAAAGAAACTGAAGACTAAATATCCACGTCCTAACATAGAAGGTGTTCTCTACACATCTATGACCGGCTGTAACTGACAATGAGCAACAACTTCAGTTTGCTTAGCAAACACTGAGAGCAATCAAAGGTGCTACCTCCTGTTTGTTACTTTTCCACCAAAAATTACTGCCTACTCACCTTTATTCCTCCCCAGAGGAACTGAGAGAACACAAGCCTGTAATTGACCTACTTCAATGCAAAGTCCAATGGCTTCGATAGAACCACCAATAAAAATGAGCTTAAACTAAAATGATACTTTGTACCAGAGTGGCTAAAACAAGACATAAATTTCAGTCTGCCAGCTCTACTGTAGAGAAGAGTAATTTCAAGCAGAGGAACAGCTGACTGATGAAGCAAAGAACTTCTTAAACTGTGAAACCTGCTGAAAAACAAGCTATCCTAGCAATCTTAAAGGTATACACACAGATCTTGGAATTGGTTCTGATAACGACACATTTTAAGGGGACTGTGTTTTGAGGGTAGACCTGTGAGACGTAGGAGATACATGGGGTGATCAAAGTTGAACAGATGCACCTTCCAAAATGAACTGCAGGATGAGATTCCTTATCTTTTTGTTAATAAAATATGCAGATATTGGCAAAACAATAAATAACTGCTACACATTTTTCCTGGTTTTATTGCATCATTTCTTTAAGATACCTTCTACATAACAAGCCAGATACACAGTACTTAAAGGGTTGCTATCAATTAAACTCACCGATTTATTTTGTAAACAAAGATCTTTACAAACTATAATACAAGTAGTACCATTTTCGTAAGTTTCGGTTGTCATGCACATATTTTTTTCCCCAGCTTAATTCTCCCACAGTACCAGAAACAGAACACCAACTGAAGGGAATTAACAAAACCAAAACTCACTAGACTGTTTCCCTCCCCAAACAAAACCTCTGAAAGAAGTAAGCAAACTAATATTTGAATCCTTTTAGGTTCAGCAGCCTATCGTTACGACTTCAGGCAAACGTAACACGTGCTTCACAGTAACCCTAAAACCCCAGGCACCGCTTCGGGCACCTGAGAGCCTCTGAACGCCAGAGAGTCTGTTCTTGCACTCCCGGTGACAGCGCTACGGGCCTTAAGCGAAGCTGTAAGGCGGCAAAGGTGAATCCCGCGATGGAGGCCCCGACAGCGTGAGGGAACCTTTTCCGCCCAGCCCTCTCGGCTCGGCTGCCGGCAACCCGGTTTTGTGGTTTCCACTGCGAGGGCGGCAACTAACAGGTGCCAGGGCGTGGGGAAAAGAGGGGACCCACGGCCACCTCCTGCCGCCGTGCCCGGGCACACCCCCAACCGCCCGCCCGGAACGCGGATCTGCGGAGCGACGGCGGACACCGGAGCGGACACCGGAGCGCTGTCCCCCCCCCACCCCGGTCCCTCCGCCGCGCACCCCCGCAGCCGGGCCCCGCCCCAGCGGGGCTCCCGAGGCGACGAGCCGGGGCCGCCCCGCGGGGAAGCGGCGGGCCCGACCCCCGCGGCGCGCCGTGCCGCCCCGCCCCGGCACCGGGCCTGGCGACCGCCGGGCGGGGCTTGAGCCGCTCGTCGCCCAGCGCCGCACCAGCCGCCGCGCCGCCTCCTGGCCAGCTCCTCCCGGGTCCCCGTCGTCGTCCCCCCCCCCCCCCCGCCCCAAAGCGCCCCGGGGCTGGCGGAGGGGGCGGGGGCCGGGGCAGAAGCCAGCCAGCCCGCCGTGCCGCTCCCCCGGGGCCGGCGGGGGCGCTGCTCCCGCCCGCCCCTCCCCGGCCCGGCCCGGCCCGGGCCCCGCCATACCTACGGCGGCCGGAACGCAGCCACTTAGCAACGGCCGCCCCCACGCGCCCGCTCCCGGCGTGCGCGCTCCCGCCCCGCCGCGCGCGCCGCCGCCGCTCCCCGGGCCGGAGGGGTCTTCACCGGCCTCGATATTGGCGGCCGCCCCAGTGCCTGGGCGGGCCGTCTGGCGGCGCGGGCGCGGGGCTGCAGTTTCGTGGCAGCCGGCGCGGAGCGGAGGGGGTGGGGGGGTGGTGAGGAGGAGAGGGGGCGGCGTTGCCCAGCAGGCGTTTGTCAGGGGCAGCCCGCCCGGCCGAAGGCCCCTGCGGGCCGGCCGTCCCTGCCGCCTCCCCCGCCCGTCGCCCGTGGCAACGGGTGAAGCCGCGCCGGCGGCGGGGCCTGGCACGAAGGCCGGGTCCAGGGTCCAAGGCCCGGGGTCTGCCCCGTCCCCTGGTGCCATGGCCGCTGAGGTGGTGGTGGTGGGATCCTGTATGACCGACCTGGTCAGGTTAGTACCCGCTGGGGCTCCCCCAGGCCGGCGGGGCCGGTTTCCTGCCCTCACGGGACGGAGGAGCCCCGAGGTCGAGGAAACGCAGGGCGTCACGGTGCCTCCCGAGGGCAGGCTGGGCCAAGATGCGCCCCAGCTCTCTCGCCCCGGGCCGGGGAAAGCAGAGTGTCCCGCCCCGGCCGGTACCGGAGGAGTGGGGTCGGCGCCGGGTGCGGCGGCGCGGAGCGCCCGGCCCTGGGCAACGGGAACCGGGGCGGGGAGTTTGGCTGCGGCGGGGGCAGGGGGAAGGAGCGAAGCCGCCGGTGGGGGCGGCTGGGCCCGGGTGATGTCAGCCCTGCGAATAATACTTTGAAGGAAGACTGTGGGAACGGGGAGAGGTTTGAACGTGTTGTCTGCCGGAGCTTTGATCAGCTGTCTGCAACTTTAGGGAGAAGGGAGCCTTGGGTTTGTGTTTTCAGCTGTGCTAGGTGGCTTGGCGCTAGCCTTGCAATATTTCATAGGAACCCGCGTGGGAAATCGTGAACTCTGACACTCTTTATCAGCAGAGGAGTTTGAAACGATTTTAAGAAGGTAAATAAAGCTGGTCGACTGTAACACGTTTTCCGTTCAAAGCACTTGTCTCCACTAGAAAGAGAGGAAGAAAGCTTAATATTGCAAAGAAACTAAAGTTAGTTCCATGAAAAAGTAGGTTATAAGTTGATTACTTACAGACGTTTTCTGTGACCCTTTGAAAGAAGAGAGAGAGAGAGAAGGCCTCCCAAGCTATTCATATCCAAATGGATTGAGAAATGGGAATAGGAAGCCCTCAAAAATTTAGCACCTCTGCATCCCAGTGCTTCTTTTTAAATTATGAAATCCCTTTTTAAGGGAATATCTTAAATAATATTTATTAATTTTAGGGGCATTTTGCTTTTAGAATTAGTTACTTTGGTCTCGTAATTTTTTAATTATTATTCTTACACATAGGTAAGGATTGGAAACTTATTTTAAATATTAAAATAAAGAAGTTCATGAAAGCTCTTGTTTCCAGCAGCCTGGGTTTTATAGTGAATAGTAAATATTAGAAGAATGCAAGCAAAATTGCAAGAGTTGCCAGCAATGCAAATGCTGACCTAAACTGGCTGCTCTTGTCAGACCCAGGAAGCTTGCAAATCAGTCTTTGATTTGCACTATTTTAAATACATCTGTTTTTAAACTATGTGTGCAGACTTGGTTAAAATAAGATTTAAAAGTATATGTACCTGGACTGCATCAGCTTGTCCTGCTGGAAAAACCCCAATTCCTCAATCGGCAGGCAATTATATCAAAAGCCTATAGGTCAAGAAGGTGTAGAATACATGATTAGAAGAATATACTGAGGAGTAAGTAAAGTTTAGGTATAGACATGTGTTGCATAAACGATGAAAACCCTTAAATAATCATAGAACCCGTGTCAGAAAGATTTAATGCTTTATGTAATCTGAAGAACACACTGGCAGTTTACCAAGAAGAATACTTGTCTTGTAAGTCAGAGTAAGATCTTGTAGAACTGATCTTGACGTTACGTGTGAATGAGCTATCAGATGCTTGTGACGTTATATTGAAATATAAAACATGGTGCTCTAACCTCAAGACGTTCCTTTTCCTGTCTCTAAAATATGGGAAAAAAAATCATCAGAAAATTGTCTTACCAGTTTAAGCACTGCTGACAGCCGCAGCTTTGGACTTTTTCTTGACACTTAAACAAACAAACAAATAAGAAAACTCCCATTTTTTTGGCTGCAAGTTTGATATGATAGAAATACAGTCATTTATTTGAAGCCATATTAACTGGCCATATTGTAACCAGAGATTAAACCATGGGTTGTAGCCATAGAGGCTGTTAGAGTGAGATTAAGTGGTTGAAGAAAAGCCATTTAACTTTTCAGTCAGCTGAAAGGGCTTCTTAAATTGTACAAATGCTATCACAAGCATATATCTGACTCACCATTATTAGCCTCTACTTTAAGGAGATGTGAAGGGCTTTTTGTTAGTGATAAGCTAATTTGCTTCATCTGAAAAAGAAGGGACAGGCTCATTCTTTCTGTTACTAGAACAGGACTTCAGGCACTTAATAAAATAAGAAAAAGAGTGGCTTTAAATTTATCTGGCAAGAGTTTAATCTGACTGAAATCTCCAAGGTAGTAGTTTATTGTATCCTGTGTTACAAAAATCGTGGTAGAATTATTGGAAAGTACTAAACTGTAGGTCGGGATGCGCCTAGGTGGAGAGCAAAGCTATGAATTAGGGAACAATAAGCATGCTGTATTAAATGTGGTAAAAAGTGCCAGGTTGGGATTAGGATTGATGCCAAGAAGCTACCTCTTGACTGTCTTTATGTCTGGGATTTAGATGGGGTTGTATATCCTAGGTTTAAAGCTAGGGTTCGTTTCAGCCAGGAGGAAAGAGCATCAGGTTTCCGCAAGTTTGTCCATCATTTATGCCAATGTCTCAGTTTGTGAAAGACATGGACAGTAGTGATCATGTTAAATGCCTGTCTATCACCCATTTGGAGGAGACTGAATATATTGAATTAGGAATGAGAGTCACGCAAAGGAGGTCAGACACATTTTTGGACACGTGTTTGGTAGGCGTATTCATCACTCAACACAAAAGCCTATCTTTCCTAGAAGATAATCATATTGATTAAGACTCTGCCACAGCTAGACAATGCTATGTTATAACTCAAACTGATAAAATATCATGTTGGCCCTTTGGAATACAATCTTGGCCCTCTGCCTGGAAAGCTAGAAGCTCAGAGTGGCAGACATTAAATGGTAAGCATTCCCAGGTCTGTAGGGGAAAGGTACTGAAAATCAGAAAGATAAACTTCAAGCTATCATTGGACATATGATAGCCAGATTCACGACTAAAAAAACAGTTAGCACATAATGTTTTCACTCAGTACAGTAAACTAATGATTTAAAGACGTGCAACCTCTGCATGAAATGGAAATGTACAATTTGAACTTTGCTATGTCTTATGTAATGACTGAGAAGGAAAAGGATGGGGACCTTCTGCTGAAGACAGTGTTCAAGTGTAATTTGGGAAAATAATCATATTCAGAAGAAAGGGTAGTGTGCCTTAAAATTCTTTTAAAGGGAAGGGGCCCAGTGGTTTGCTTTTAAAACACTGTTCTCATTGGAAATTCTTTTCTCATTGTCCTGTAGCGCTGCAGTGGCAGAATGTGGGTTTTCTAAAGTGAATTTAGTATAATCAAAACAACCTCACGTACATGCATGCAGTAAACCACACTTTTTTGGCTTAATAGGACCAGGAACAAAACATATTTGTGGTCAAAATCACAATCAACACTTCATTGGCAATAGCAGGCAATAGTAGTAGAAAACAAAAACAGCATTATTCTATATGATCTAGATATCAAACCAGATGGGTATCATCCATAGTATTATTTAAATAGTTTCTGTTCTGACTCATATTTGCAGACTGGTCGTGGCATTGGCATTTTAATTCATATTAAATCAGGACAAGACTAAACATATAAACCAATGAGAGTCAGACACACTAAAACAATTAGAATAAACAGGAGAAACTTTGGCATGGCAATTGAAAACAGCAGAAGCAAAGAACAAAATGTAAGATGGAAAAACAATCTTTGGATAGTCACAACAGCAATAGTTTTTCACTTTAACTCAAGAGAATGAGACCACAGTCCAAATATTGGAAAACTGTGTTTGTTAGGATGTTCAAAATCTGAAGTCTTAGTTTTCTGTGGACCTCTTTCCTTCCCTCAGGTGGCTTCATTTCTTACAGGAGTAGAACTAAAAGTTCTGCTTCCAGTCCCCTGTTGTAATGACCATTATTAATAATTATTACCAGTAGTAAACTGCTTAACTGAAAGCATTCAGCAAGAGAAGAAAGACACTGCAGAGAAAGCACTGAGCTATGAAGTAGTATGTTGCCAGACTGGAGTGGACAGTGGTGACAAATGCACATCTGGAATTAAGATCTCAGAGTAGCCTGGTGGATGCATCTGATCAGCTTTGTTAACCAAGCACAATCTCTGCTTGTGAAAAATGGCAAAGGTATTTCCATTAGTAAGATTCTACATATTCGTTTTAAGTCCCTCATGTGGTTATTGTCAGCTGAAGTGCTGAAGTAAACGGCTCATTGGGAATGTCCATGATCCAAAGCTATGTCTGTACTTTCTTTTTTAAAGTGTAGTATTTGGGACAATAATTTCAGCCTTTTTTTTTTGTGGGAATATGGAAAGGTATTTTCTTTTGAGGAAGATAAAGTCTCACATATGACTTCATTTTTCTTCTTTGCTTTGTTTCCATGTCTTTCACATGTGTTCTTATTTCTACCATTTCTCATACATGAACAGTCACCAAGTTTTATGTTTTTTTCTTGCTTCAATGTTTTTTTACGCTCTTCAGCTTTTCCTAGCAGAAAAGTGTTCTAGAATCCTTCAAATCCATTTCACTTGTGTTTTTGTTTTTATCTGTAATGCTTCCCCTGCAGCAGCCACTCCTCATTCTAGTCAATCTCCCATTGCCAGCAGCATGGGAAAGCACAACTGTGAAGGAATACAAGCTTAGTCCAGTTGAGGAAATTAATCTTTTGGATCCAGAGAAAGGCATCAAGGCATGAGAGAATGTGTCATCTGTGAATTGTTTAGTTTATGTAATAGTGAAAAATCTGGGCTTGATTTCAGAGCCTGTACTATTTATTCTCTTGTCTTCTTCTCTGACCTAGCAAAGTTTGGGTGTATAGTAAATGCAGGATGCGCAGGCTCAGTGTTATGTTGTTCTGCCTGGATTTTAGAGGACCTGAATGTGTTTTAGAGGAACTCCTCTCTGCCTTCTTTTGGCTGTCAACAAGAAAGCTGTGTCTTAGGGCCCCAAAAAGAAAAAGGGGATAAAAATCGAGCTGATGAAATCCTCAGTTAAGGATTTCAGTAAGAAAATCTTGTTCTGTTCATATACAGCTTTTGAGTATCTGTAGTGGCCCAGACACTGCTCATCTGATGTGGAGCCTGATCAAAGCTCATTCATGTCAAAAGGAGCTTTTCACTGCTGTAAACTGTCATTAAATTGTCGTCCCCCTGCAAAATCTGAGTGATCAGTTTATTTTAGAGTGAGACACAGTTTAATGTTTTAGTGTGTTAAAAGTATTTGGTGTTCTATTCCAGACCTTAAAAG